CCCGCCGCCCTCCTCCTCCTCCTGCTGCTCCTGGGCTTCCTCCGCCGCAGACGCACCCGAGCCCGTGAGTGTCCCAGCAAGGGAAGGGTTAAACCTGCTGCTAAGCAGGGCTGGGAAGGGGCAGGGTTTGGAGGGGAGACAGGCCAGGAACCCACAGCACTAGGGGGCGCTGTGCTGAACAGTGTGGGGCGGGGGGCTCTGTTGAGGGTGTGGGGTGTCTGTGGGAGGGGCTGAGGGGGTCGGTATGGGGCACAGGGATCTGTAGGGGGCGCTATGCAGCACGGGGCAGGGCTCAGACTGTCTCTCAGCAGCGAGAGGGATGGGGGCTCCCCTGACAGAGTGGGGGGGGCTCCTATCCCAGCTGCCCTGTGGGGCGGAGGGGCAGGGCTGGCACAGGGACCCGGGTCGACTCGTGGACAATTCTGCTTTGTGTCTCTACAGGGAAGGGACCAGCATCGAGGCAGAGCAGGTGAGACCCCAGTTCTCCCCCCCCCATCTACCTGCCTCAGGACTCCTGGCTTCTCTCCCTGGCTCTGGGAGGAGTGGGGCCTAGTGGTTAGAGCCAGGGGTTGGAGGCCTAGTGGTTAGAGCCAGGGGCTGGGTCCAGGGCTCCAGGGCTCTGTTACTGTCTCTCTCTCACTCTCTGACCCCACAGGGAATCCGAGGAGGCAGCCACTGTGTGTGTGAGACAGGAGGGGGCAGCCATGGGGAGTGAGAGGAGGGGCAGGGATGGGAGCTGGGTTGTTCCCTGGGTGTCCCCCGGCAGGGGCCCCATCCTTTGGGGGGCATGCTGATGTGGGGTGCAATCCTGAGTTTCTGTGCACGTTGGGAGGTGCCCTATCCCCACTATGTGCCTCAGTTTCACCCATTGTCCCCTGGACCTCGTGACCCTGCCCCACCCTGGCACTTCCTGGTAGGCAGGGGGCTGGCAGAGGGCTGGACCAGGGACCAGATCTGGGTCCAGCCCCTCACCAGGGGGGTGTCTCTGTTCCACGGACGCCCTCGGGAGCCAAGGGAAGCTAAAGCCCCCCTCACTCCCCAAGGCCCCTCCCATGCCTATCACCACCCCCCATGCCAATAAACAATCCAGCGTCTGGCCCTTCACTGGCCCCTCTAGAGCTATGTTCTCACACCGGGCCCCCTACCCCCCGGGCTCCTACACCCCCTTCAGACTGACACCGGAATGGGGGTTCAGAGGGAGAGGAGGGGGCGCAAGGCCCAGAACACAGAGAATCAGAGCCTGACCCTGAACCCTTCCCCTAAATATGCCAAGGGGAGAATTCCCAGGTCTCTGCCCCGTGGGGCTCAGAGGGGGGCTAGTGTGAGGGGGGGGATCACTGGGCTCTCAGTGAAATAGAAGTGCCCCAGAGCCCCCTGCTGGCTGGAAGTGTTAGCAGTTACTGAGCAGAAAGAAAAAAAAAGTCATGTAGCACTTGAAAGACGAACAAGATGGTTTATTAGGTGATGAGCTTTCATGGGGCAGACCCACTT